ATCGCGGATTGTGCCTTTAATTGGAGGTTACCGAATGTGGCCTCTCTGATGTAATGGTTAACACACTAGCCAGCTGATGTCAAGTGAGTTGCCCAGGGATCTGCGTTCATGTGATAGTTTCCGTAAGCTGCGTTTTCCACATTTTTCTCATTTATCCTGTGGAGATCTGATAATGGTACAACGTGAGTAAGTCTTTCTTCCATTCTTTCTTCCATAACGAAAACTTTTGTTTATTGCCGCAGCTTACAGGAATTATCACATGAACGCAGATCCCTGGGCAACTCACTTGACATCAGCTGGCTAGTGTGTTAACCATTACATCAGAGAGGCCACATTCGGTAACCCCCAATTAATGCGTAGCATACAAACAGTTCTAGCTAGGGCCAAGCATTAAAGGCAATTGGCACGATGAATCCGCAGGACGAGGTGGATTGATACGCCTTGCAGTACGGAATGCTGCGACCCTAAGCAAGATACGCATTTTTTAGGCCCTATCAAAGTGCAACACACCGACTCGAACGCCCACCGCGACCGCCCGCCTATAAATGTCCGACTGTATCTGATGCCTCTGTATTGCTTTCATTACCTAGTAAAATATGGAAGCGAAGGCATTGGATATGAAGCGCGGTTATTCGAGCAAGGTGCCTATCGGGGAACCTTTCCAATTGCTCCTCTATCATTAACCCATTGCGTACCGCAGTGTATTTGCGCGACGCGATTTCTGGCGCGCTGAGTATAAAAACATAAGATTTTTATCTTATACATATAACATAAAAATATTGCACATACATCGTATTATGAATCACTTTTATATGTATACGTATGCTAAAGGGGATTCAATATTGTTACGTGATAAAAGTGTAAGGCCGAAAAATGCGAAACTAGCCAAAAAAGCTTATCTAAAACTAAGATGCCGAGCTTGAACAAGGTGACGCGTGTGCTCTAGAAGCTGTTCACTCACACCATTCACACATCTTTTCTAGTCGTACTACTAAAAGCAGCGATTTCAGTTTTATTGGTACACTGGACGAGCTTAATTAAAAAATGTAATAGTTGAGGTATTACTCGAAAAATGCTAGCAACATAGCTATTATTCAATCTCGCAATTTCCCCCACACATATTTTGTCCCTGACGACTTCAGGAATATACCTACTCTTTCCAGTCATCTAACAATGCTAAATGAGTTCACACTAAGAGTGCTTCACCATGTGCAGCACGCGGTACGCAATGGGTTAAGAGGATAGGCTTTTTCTTTGCGCTTTCACTCGTTTTTTTTCGCCAATTTTGTCCCTCTATATAGCGCCCTCCTAACATTTTTAAGATGCCGGGCACCAAATTCATCGAACCAAAAAAAAACCCCCGCCCCTTTGGGTCCGCCATCAAATTAATACATCTTGTAATTTCGAGAATGGATATGAGTGAGACGACCGATGCCTGCCCAATTACACCTGCTCACATGGATTCAGGGTATGTATTACATTGGGATACAGTGGTCGGAGGCAAAAAAGTCACTTTTCTTCATTGACTTCCGAGGCGCTATAAGTTACACTTTATCAAATTCTGATCGGACATTTTTACCACCATATTAAAGAGCATATTAAATACTATCATGACACTCCGCCACAGCCTTCTGGACGAGCGCCATCGAGAGATTCTGGCACGCGACCGCGATGGCGGGTGCCTGTAGTCGATTGCCGACCACCGTCAGCACCACCCGTCCTTGAACTCCGCCCGAACCAGGTAATTGAGGGGATTCAGGTCAGGTGACCTACTTGGATATTCCATCTTCTTTAGGTACTCAGCCCCCTTCCATTCCAAGTAGGCGAGAGTTTCTCCAACGCCCTTCGATTCCATGTGGTGGCACCCAGTGTAGCAGTACAAAGTTTCAAGAAGGTGACGGTTGCGGATCCACATGTGATTGAGGATATCCCCTCTTTCACGCGAGCTGCCCCATTGTAACCGCCAGCGCTTCACCTGCCCAGCCGGCGGTCCACGAAGAAATATGTGGTCTTTCCATTCCAATACGTCGCCGGTCCATTACGCAGATCAACCCCGCGCGCCGTTGGGCGACTGCGGGAAGATGATGTCCTAGCAAGCCGTGGGGCGGACGTTGTCGGGAGCTGCTCGATGCTTGTTAAGATCATCCAGATCGGGAGTACTGGTTTTCCAGGTAGCTATCTATAAAGCTGACTCCCCACACTAGAAGTTTCGCAGCTGTTTGGAGGTGACATGAATTTCAAAGGTCTTCTCCAGTCAGGCTGCGACTGGAGATGACTTCATATTTTGGTGTACATGAAGGTGATGGGCGAGAGCCAGCTCCTGCTTATAGAGGAACATCTTGGGTATCTTCCGCCCTGGTACTCGTATCCACGTCCTCTGTCTGGGCAGCGAAAACTTTGCTGATATGTGACTCGGTCGAAGTGACTTTTTTTGCCTCCCCCTGTAGTAAGCGAAGGGGGAAGTCTTCGGTTACCTACTGGAGTGAGAAGATTCATACTTGAAAACGTGCTTTCGTTTGTTTACTTTGTTCTGTTCTTCGGTCTTCGAGGTGCTAGATACATTCCTCCACACCCCACCTCGCGACAGCAGCTTTTCGGGTGAGAGGAGGGGGAGGGAGTGGAAAAAACTCCGGATAAGTGATATGGGAGGATGGGTTAGATGATTGGGAAGAAGGTCGTATCAGAGAGGGAGTTCAAAGGGCGCGGATCTCATTTTGCAAAAGTTTTCTTTATCAGCATAATTTGGATTACACAGCCACTTTAGGGGTAAGCCGAGCAAACTTATCACTAAATACAGTTTTCAAATTGAACTCAGTTGAATTGAGCTTTGCTATTGGATGATAATTCCACCACAAAGGGTTGAGTCGAATGCATTGCATTGCACTGCGTGGCATTCAGTCTCGAATGAGATTCGAACTCGCGCATTCATCCTTGGCGCTAGTGCGCTCATCCATTACACGAACTGGAATCGAAGTGATATCCTGGACCGTAGCGACGTTGCCGGAGCTGCTCGATGTTGGAGGTCTTCCAGATTGAGAGTACTGGTCTCCAGCTATCCATGGGTGACTCCATACTAGAAGTTTCGCCGCTTGGAGGTGACATGAATTCCAAAGGTCTTCTCCAGTCAGGCTGCGACTGGAGATGACTTCATATTTTGGTGTACATGAAGGTGATGGGCGAGCCAGCTCCTGCTTATCGAGGAACATCTTGGGTATCTTCCGCCCTGGTACTCGTATCCACGTCCTCTGTCTGGGCAGCGAAAACTTTGCTGATATGTGACTCGGTCGAAGTGACTTTTTGGGGCCCACGTAGATCTGTATGTCGACACGTCCTCCTTGATCTCGATCCGTACCCAATCTAATCCACAGACATTCCAGTCTCAGCATATTCTCTTTCTGACTTACCTAATTTTCCTTACAATTTTGTTACTATGTTCAATGAAATGTCGAATCATTTCAATGGCTTTTTTGCTTTTATGCGATTTTATTACATCGGCTTGCTTCTTCCTTACTGACTCTTCCTATCCTTTCTTTTTTATTGTTTGTTTCCCGCCTCGTGAGGTCGTCGTGCAACGTCGCTTTATTCGGCTCTACATGACCGCTCAAAACATGCCGCCAAAGAAGAGTTCTGCTGAAGAAGCGCCTGCATGGCTCAAGCCTATCCTGGACAAGTGGGGTGAGCACTTCGAAAGGTTTGACAGGATTTTCGAGATTTTTTTACAAATGCAGGAAACCCAAAATATTATTCTCAATAAACTAGAAAGTTTAGAGCGTAGGATCAGTATGGAGGCCGATCGCAATGAAGGTTCCAGGTCGGCCCTTTACAGCACTCTAGTGAAGTTCAAGGCTGATTCCAGGATTGTGGATGAAAAGGCATGCATGGATCACATGGGTGGGTATTTCATTTACATAATGGCGATTTCGCGCGTCAATGAGAGACGCTCGACTGCTTGGACAGCCGCTGAAGAACGAGCACTTAAAAGTGCGCCGCAGTTCTGCCCGCGAATATTGTTTGAAACAAATACCCATAGTTCTGTGTGTAGGCGTCCTTCTGGATGTCTACTAGTACAGTTGGTGGCCGGAATCATGGATCTCCTCTAAATACCCTAGAAGATGCGTGTTCACCTGAGTATCACACGATATGCCGATTTTGAATGGCTGAAATACGCTCCTCTCCTGATCTACACTCGAAATTTCTGAATATTAGTAAAGAGCTGTATTCATACGATAAAGGCTGTTTGTGGGTTCTGTGACGCAAATTCCAAACGTTTGCAATTTTCTGCATTAGAGAACAGGTTTGTCGTGTCAAAAAGACATTCATAGAAACTTCTTCGTTTTTTAAGGAAATCGGTACCAAAAGAATGCGCACCGTCTGAATAGCACAGCTGCGTGTATTTCAATACTTTCTGATCTGCGGAAGTAACAACTGGACCGTTGAATCTTTCGAATTCCTGTGAATACCCTGTGGTTATAATTACCGCGAGACTCGCTCGCTAACGAGTCGCCTCAGCTATTTTGCTAGGTTGAGGTCATCAAAATTAAGTTTCATAGGTTTTGAAAGCAGCATCGTATAGAGCGTGACGAGCTGAATTCAACGGTATAGGGCTCTCTATAAGCAGGATAAACAAGGAATCGAGTTATAGCGAAAAAACGAAAAAAACGCGAAAAATACGGCGAACGTATTGCATATTTCCTCTGTCGAGCTCATTTAAAAGTTCTTAGTCACCGGAGGAAGTGATGACCTCCTTGATCGCCTCTCTGTCGATGGCATGAGTGGCCGCCTCGTTGGCCTGCTCACCAATACCCACCCATGTGATCATGCATGCCTTTTCATCCACAATCC